ATGGATGCAGCTATATTGGTCAAATGGAATATTGAAATTTTCGAGGTTCTACACTTTTGGGCAGGGTTTATGACCAGAATGAAGTGTATTGATTTAATCATATGCAAAAGTTTTCTCATAAATGTCCTGTCTTGTAGCTGCAGATCTCAGAAGGGATGCAGGATGTAAAAATGTATCCTATTGCCTGCTAAATCTCCATACCTTAACAAATTATGAAAGAAATTTGATTAAAGATTCAGTTGTATTTTTTGACAAGTAATAATTATTAATCTTGAACCAAGCAAACTCAGATATAAACAACTAATATCTACCTTTCTCCGAACCAAGTAAATGCATTTAGACTCAAATATAAATACCAATATTTACCTATCTCTAAACAAAATTTAATTTCTTTAATAAGATTTCCTGAATATTCAGTCAGGTAGATGAAAATAAATATACTGTTTAATAAATAAATGGGCTTCTACTCACATACGAGAATCCATTAAAAAAAAGTGTAATGTAATAAAATCTGTCGGATTAATAAATAAATTAATTCATTACTTCATTAGGGAAAATTATAAATTAATTGATTTAAAATATGTTTTTTTTCGCTACACAGTTCTAACCATGTTTCAAAAATGGAAGCTAAAAGCCCCGAATTTAATTTTGTGATTAAATTAAAGATATTATTTCCATTTCATCCTCAAGCGAATTTTGGAGTAACTTTTAAAATTACTGGGTTTTAAAGACACAGCTAAAATCATAATTCCCATTTCCAAGGATGAAATGGAACTAATGTCTTTAATTTAATTACAAAATTAAATTTGGGGCTTTTAGCTTCCATTTTTGAAACATGGTTAGAACTGTGTAGCGAAAAAAAATTTTTTAAATCAATTAATTTATCATATTAATGCTCTGTAAATTTACATTGAGCACTACTTTGTAAAAATAAAAATATCTATAAGAACACCGGATTATATATCTTACTGTTCTTTCTTTTTATATATAATATATATATATATATATATTAATTATTAATTTATTATTATATATCATTTATGATAGCATATTAATTATTAATTTCATTTATTATAGCATATATATCAATTTATGATATATATGAATTATTAATTTATTATTATCATCTAATATATATAGGAAATCGATATATGTCAAAAATATAGTTTTAAGGTATGCTATATTTATGAGTTAAAGTGCTTGATATAAGGGATAAAGCATATGTATAAATGGACATAGAGGTCAACACCAAATGGAGTTTTTTTTATGGTTACGTGTAATATCAAAATATTTAATACAATTGCATATAAGCATGAAACTGACTGTCACCACTGTGTGTTGACCTCAATGCCCACTTTCATATTAATTATATTACAGTTTTTTTAATTTAAAAAATTATATTCGGTAATTAAAATAAACAGGACTTATATATGTATGTAAGAAAATTAAAATTAAAAAAAATTATTTTTGAGTTGTGGATATTCATTTTTTAATTTTTTTTTTAATTTTTCAATTTAATGGAGATTACTTGTTTTTATTTATTCTTATTCAACAAAAAAACATTCATTTATATTCAAAATGAATAATAATTTAGATTAAATTTAAAATTAGCACCAGGACTATATATGCAATATATATATATATATATATATATATATATGCACACACACACACACATATATATATATATATATATATATATATATATATATATATATATATAATAACTGTATGTTTTTCTTCCCTACTTATCTTTCAATACAATTTCATCTCACTCTCACTTTGGTGTGACTTTCTCCTTTTTTTTCTGTATTATTCTTTCATTTTAAATTTCTTTATATTATAAGTAACAAATAACAAAATGTCAAAATATCATTATTCACCTGTGATAAAACCATATCATAATTATCAGTTGCACAATATATATTTCTCCATACCATATGATATTATTATTATCGTAGTTATTGTAATTCCATTCTGTATCTTTGCATTATTCCATTCTTATGACTAGTATCTTTATCTCCTTGCTTTTGGTATTGATGCTTAGGGTAATTACCATTCATGAAAGTCAATCAAAAAGACAAGGTTAACCGTGTTGAAATGAGCAAATAAATCAGGCAGACAAACAAAAGCCTGATACAATGTCCGCTCAACTGGCTGAGAAAATTAAATTTTTTAAGGGAGATAACTCACCATCGGCAGCCATGATTTTATCTTTTTTGTTTGTGTCTCATTCATTACTCATTCGTTTCCTGATGAACAATTTTTCATCATGGGAAGAGGAGATGATTGAGTGAGTATCATTGTGCAAGTATGTTTACAAAGCCAAGAGGAATTGATTGTACTCAAATGCCATGTATGATGTCTTTGTTAATGTCCAATGCAGTGTCATGCACTGATTTTTACAGCTTGCCTCAGAAGCCATTTTTGAAATGTTCAGACATAATATTTGTTGATTCAATTTAACAAGCTAATTCAATAGCTTTTTATGTTTCTGGACAGAAATGAGGCATTGCCGAGTAGTCAAAGCATTGGCCTGGTGGTCATCAGGTTTTCATTTCAATCTATTCTGTCATCTATTTAATATTACAGTCCCACAGTAATTTTGTGAACATGCAAAATTGAGAAATGCATTCCTTTTTTTTACATGCTGCTTTTCAGCAATAATTAAGATGAAATATTTTGGTGTAATTGATGGACTTTTACTTCAAAATCATATTGAAAGCACTGGTTCTTATTTGGTCACTAAATTTAAGCAACCATAATAAACATATTATCAGCAGCAGTTTGGAGGGTGTAAAAACAAGTGAACACTTAAGTAATTCTCTTTTCCAGTTTTTCTCCTTTCGAAATATATGCCATAAACTTTTTGCACTGAAGCAAAAAGGGCTGTGGACACTTCACACACAAACACACCTACACAGGCAAGTCACACTCAAATACATTCATTAACAATTTTCATTGTGTATTCAATTTATTTCTAGGAAAAGAAAGTCTTAAACATTCCTTTTGTTAATTTTGTTAAATAAATGTTATCTTGCATTCTAAATCAACCAGCCTCTTCGTGTATGTACCTTTTCATCACCATTAATTTATGTAAAATATTCCTTTAGAAACCTAAATATTTTCAGAAATAACCAACACAAAAACAGTATTGTGACCCCTTGGGAACATTGAGTAATGTAAGCAACCTCTTACAATTCAAAATGTTTTGGCTTTAAATAACCCACAAAGGGTTGATAAGCTATAAAAACAAATCTTCAAGATATAACCATAAGTTTTGTTCTTTTCTGACACTTCTAACCTGTAGAATTATATTCCAGTTTCTACCACCTACAATCTTCAAAAATTTAAATCATCATCTTCTGTCTTCCTAAATCTTGTTCTTTTGTTGTCCTTTCTCACTATAGTCTTGTCATTCTCTTTCAATTCCAGTAAGCCCTCCCATTGCATCTTAGTGACATTATCACCTTGCTTGGGGAAAAATAATTAAAAAAAATGAGTTTGATCTATTTACCCAAAGGTAAAGGAAATATAAAGGGTAATTGTAATATTGTAGTTAGTGATAAACTACTTAAGATATTGACACTGATAATGTGATTTTGTAAAGAAATTCTTACAGCAACATAATATAAACACTGGGGAATTAACATATCAACAGTGAGTATTTGGCAAAGCAGTAAAACAATATATCTGCAGATACTGTTGAAATGACTTTTTGCATGATTAAATTAAGTAAAACAAATTTCCACTGTGCAGTGGGATTTAAGTACATGCTTTGAGAAAACACTATTGAGTGGAACTTCTTCTTTACCAATGGAATAAGTGAAGGTGCTTCATTTAACAAATTCAAAAAATTCTACTGCTAATACTACCAGTGCATGTAAATAAATATATATCAAATTTATATAAAAAATATAAAAATAGATATAGTCTGTTTTGATTGATGGCAGCAGAGTGTATAGCAGGTCCTATTTATGAAAATCTGAACTGGTGGAACTAAGCAACTGTAGCTCATCTGAATATTTGTGATAGAATAGTGATAGAGTAGCAAGTACCTCACAATGTTTTGTCTGTGGGAAACGAGTTGTTGGGAGGAAAATAATTCATCATCAGCAAGGATGTATAAATGCTATTGAATTCGACAGTAAGTGAGGATTGAGCATCTTCAGCCCAAATACAGCAGTGGAACACTATTTTTGATCTGATCTGGTTCATAAAATAACTGAGTAAATTTTCAGCAAAATGCAATAAATTATGTTCTTTTTGTTTAAGGATATTCAAACACACTTTACAGATTTATATCTTAAATAATGAAATGGTTTTATGATTTTTCCCAATTAGATTTGCAGTTAAATATTTTAAACAAACTCAGTGCCATTATTACTATTCCTTACATTCTAATTTCAGTTGCTTTTTATTGCAACTACCAGAAAATCATTTTATGACTGTTAGCTAGGAGCAGAATTCAGTAAGTAAAGACTGAGCATCTGGTAAGAGATGTACTCACACCCTTTCTCCTCAGGAAGCCTGTCTTTATACAACAGCTGCCTTACTGGTTTGGCTGCCGAGGCTTTCTTCTGCCATCAATCAAAACAGACTATATCTATTTTTATATTTTTTATATAAATTTGATATATATTTATTTACATGCACTGGTAGTATTAGCAGTAGAATTTTTTGAATTTGTTAAATGAAGCACCTTCACTTATAATTCGTTTTTTGGCTAAACATTTGTTTAATCATAATTTCACTTGCTTTTTTATCTCAACACTTATATTATCATTCAACAATAATTAGTATGTCATGTAGATAGAAAGAAAAAAGTTCCAAGAAGACAAAAATTTATCCTGAGGAACCTATGTTAATATGATAGCTGCCTTACCAATTAGGCTAGTCCATTGCCTACAGTCATTTAAATCTAACTAATCAGCTATTCTTCCTTTTCCTTGCTTTCTTGGTTTTCCACCACCTTTATTTACAGCTTACGAACACATCACATTGAAACACCAGTTCCCATAAGATCACCAAAGTTAAGCAATGTTGAGCCCAGTCAGTACCTAAATGGGTGACCACTTAGGAATACCAGGTGCTATAAGCTTGGATGTTTGGGTGGTGTAATGGTTAATGGCTTGGAATTGTTCATCAGAGAACCAAGTTCCAATTTCAGTTGGGTTCATTACATTCACTTTCATGCAAATACATTTAGAAAAGATATGAATCCACCTGTTCAAACCCCTGCGATGGGTTAATTAGTAAAACTTATATGACTAAATATTATCTCAAAAAAAAAAAATTCTAACAATGTAAAAATATTTTCTGGTTTTAAAATAACCTGAAAAGGGTTGATAAGCCATAAAAAATGAATATATTCATTGGTAATATTAGTTGTAATATTATTATTTTTTGAATCATTGTAATTTAGAGTGCCTCATTCACAAAATTAGAAAAAATAAACTCAGTGCAATTACAGTTTGTACCAATTAAATACATGAATCAATAATCAATATTTTTAATAATTGTGTGCTATTCAATAGTCATCCAATTAGAACTCAGTTTGACCAATCAGGTTGTTTCATTAAGATCTTGGACCAGCCATGTCTGACATTCTTTCTGGTGATTCTTTGCACATCATGAATACTATATCATATTTTAATCAATTTACCCCAACAAAGGTGACAATGCCACTAAGATACAAGAGTGAAAATTAACAAAAAGACTTTAGAAGGAACTGTTCAAAATATCAAGGAAAAGTGTGAACTGGGTTGGTAGGTGAATCTGTCTATTGATAGGCTGAGGAGAAGAAAAATAATAATTAGTACATAAAATTCCAGAGTTCACGCCAAGATTTTAGAATTAACCAGAAACCCAATACTAAACCGGAAAAAAGGGATAAACCGCTACTAGTTTAAAACAAATAATTATTTCTAGTTGTCTATATTTCTGAGATGAGGTATTATGTACACTATTTACATTATTTGGACACATGGGACAGTGGATAAAGGCATCAGTTAGATCCAGTGACAGGACCCAAAGAGTGTGAGTTCAATACCCGGTTAACGCAGTGGAGAACTTGGAGAGGGAAATTAACAGAAGATAACCGATAACTGACATCCATTAAACATGGCATGTGGAACTAGAACAATCTACCCCAGTGAGTGAAATAAAGGGTTCAGTTCAACATTCCAACCACCTGAAGAAGGCCGGAGCGTACAATGGACGAAATGTTGTAATAAATATGGCGACAAAGATGAAGATAGTAATTCCTTGTGTTTATATTTGTGTATTAGAAAAAAGGATTTGGTTGGTTTTGCTTAATGGTATATCAACACCTCTATGGGTGATTTAATGCTGAAATGTAAATATTTTGTACACTTTTATGGCTTCAACTAAATATATTTTGAATACAACTGTATACCTTCATCTACAGATAAAATGTATTGTTGGTAATTTTACTATAAATACATACTGTTGCTAATTTTTTTATATATAAAAATGTATTGCTGGTATTGTTTTTTGATAAAAATATATTTTTATACTTTCATAGTCTTTTGTTTTTGTTTGTGGTGTTCACTATTTGCTCATTAACCGATGCTACCACTCACAGGTAAAGGTGGACCTGGGAACAACAGCAATTAAGAGGTGGTTCCATACTCCTCAAAACCTCTAATATCCTGATTAAAGACCTTGCTGCCAGATGTAGTTTATTGTCATACCCAGGACTAAACAAAATTGTTATCTCTTCAAGAATTATATTCTTCATTAAATTTTTTTTTATCGTTTAATTTGATATCAATATTTCATAAGTAAGATGCAAAATTAGAATATTGAAAAATAAAAAGTTGGGAAGATTGTGTTGCACCAAACTACATTAACATTAATAATCTTGACTTCTACCTGGACACAAATATCACTCCTGGTAACAAAATCAATGATGCACTTACCTTACTTCTTCCACCTAAACATTCATCATTTATTTTAACAATTAAGTGCAGTCACATCTTGAATAGCTCACCGTTAATTTCAAGTTAGAAATTTTCAAATTCTTTTTTCCTACTAAAGAAATGATTCCTTAATTAAATAACTCTGAATTCATTCTGCTACCTGATCAAATTAACGTATTTTATAAACCAGGCATTGAAAATTGTATTTCAAATTAATCAAGTATTTATACTTCCATTAAATTATATTTTTCACAAATCAGATTCATATATCTATAATTTACTTAAATTTAAGATCTCATCAAGGACTTTAAATCTTAATTAGTCCCCAACCAAAAAATGTAATATCATAACTAGTAATATGATTACTGTTATAAATAATATTATAAGTAGTAATGTTATTATAATATAACTAGTAATGTTATATCTACAGGGTATCCAACAAAAAGAGTACTCACTATTTAAATGACAATAAATGCAGTGTTTATTTACTTGCAAACAGGATTAATGGTTAAAATTAAGTAATATTAATGTTTATTGACTTACAAAAAGATTAACAGTTTAAATTAAATATTAAATGAAATTAAATGCATTGGGTCTGAAAAAAGAGAAAAAAAAGAAGTGATAGGAAGTCAAAAAGTGGTTTCATTTATTTTAGATATCCTGTATAATTGGTAATATTATCATAACTACTAATATTATAGCTGTTTCATAAATGGTTATGTTATTAATATGATACAAATAATGCCATATCTATATTATAACTTCATATTATTACTATGAAAAACTAGTAATATTATGTTATAACATAATGTTATTACTATGATATAACTAGTAATATTATAGCTATGATATAACTAGTAATCTTATTAGTATGATGTAATTAGTAATTTTATATTTATAATAACTGGTAAGGTTATTACTCTATAACTAATTACATTATAGATATGTTATTACTATGATGTAACCAGTATTGTTAAAACTATGATATAATTATTAATGTTATTACTATGACATAACTGTGAATGTTAAATATGATCCTTCTCTTATGTGCTGCGTCCCTTCAGGACATGGGCAATCATGGCTCTCCACAACTTGCCACCCCTTATGACCTTCAGCAGTGTTTCTCCTTTTGTCAAGACTATAAACCTTTTCTGTGCCTGCCATACATTCATACAATATCTCTTCTGTCCTCAAGATAAGTTGTGTAAGATAACTGATAATCAAACCATACAATTATTAACAATGTGTATTTATTTATATATTTCCTGTCCTATCTGTTGTGGGAAGGGAGGTAAATTAACTTAAGTTAATAAAATTATGTGTGATTACTTCCCTTAGTCATTTTAATAATCTATAAAAATAAGATATTTATCTGCATTTAAACAAAATGAGTAAACTTAAGGAATCAGCACATATTCTATGAGCTGACCAAGCATAGAAATGAATACAATATGGGAACCAGTAGTAAGGAGTGCCAGAGAAAAGTGATAATAACAAAATTGCAATATGAGATCGGCTAACAAACATAAATAATAACAGCTAAAATTGCAATAAAAGCACTGGTAAAAAATGGTTGCTGAAGACATTAGGTTTATAATACCCAGAAATTCACACACAGATGCCCTCAAGGACACATGGCACAGTGGATAAAGGTGTTAATTAGATCCAGTGACAGAACCCAAAGAGTCAATACCTGGTTACGGTGGTGGTGAACTTGGAAAGGGTAATTATACAGGAGATAACTGATAACAGACATGGCACATGGAACATGAACAATCTACCCCAGTGAGCAAAATAAAGGGTTCAGTTCAACATTCCAACCACCTGAAGAAGGCTGGAGTGTACAATGGCCGAAATGTGATAAATATGGCAATGAAGATGAGGACAATAGTCCAAATAATGTAAATAGTAGACAAAATTAGTTCCCGTGCAAAATGAATTGTTTAATTAATCAGTTCCTTTATTGTTAAGTTTCTTAAATTGCAGTCTGATTTATTCAGGCCTTTCATGTGAGACACTCTGATATCTTTGTCTATTAAGTGATTGTTTTGCTTCAACTTGGTCTTGAAACAGGTTTTGTAGTTGTAGTTGTCATTCTATTGATAATCTTTTTCTTACAAGAAATATTTCCATTTCACTGTTACATGATACATTTTTTTTTTACATGAAAAGATATTGGGCAAAAAGCAATTCATATAATACCAGGAGTAATCAATGAATCATAGATATCATTGAACATTTAAAAAGTATAAAAGAAACAGATTAATTAAATGGTTCATTGGCCTCTATTTTAGTTGTGAATTCTTTATCTTTGTTTTATTGAATTTTAATACATTATTTCATTGCATCTCACTATTAACTTTCACTCTTGAAACTTTCTAACAATTACCATAATTTTCAATAGTACGGGTACACTATTATTATTAAAGAGATATAATTGGTGATATTATTACTTTAACATAACTAGTACTGTTATAACTACACTTAGTAATAACATTACTAGTTTATGAATAATAATATCAGGTCATCCCATAAGTTCTGTCTGAATTTTGAATAAAGAAAACAAGTGACCAAATGTTACATTTAATCACAGATTCAATCAACAATGTATTTTCCCTGATTATCTATGACTTCCTTCCATCTATTAACAAGCTTACTAATTCCATTACTGTAAAATTCTTTTGGCTTTGATTTGAAGAACTCACAAATGTCAGTTTTAACCTCTTCCTGTGTTACAAAAGCTGTTTCTTCCAAATGATTCTGTAAGCTACGAAACAAATGGTAGTCTGAAGGAGCAAGATCGGGAGAATAAGGTGGATGAGGAATTTTCTCCCAACCAAGTTCTTCGATCTTCCGTGACGTGATTCTTGCTGTGTGGGGTCACGCGTTGTCCTGATGAAACATCACCTATTTTTGATTCACTGGAGCAAGTCTTTTTTTCCTCAAAGCTTGGTTCAAACACTCTAATTTCTGACAGTATATTTGAGCATTAATTGTTGCATTAGGTGGTAAGACTTCAAAGTGGATTATTCCTTGGCGACCCCACCAGATTAAAAGAAGAACCTTTTGCCCATGAAGTTCCCTTCTCAGCTGGGGATGGGGTCCTTCCCCTTTACCAAGCCACTGTCTATGACACTTAACATTTTGATAAAA